TGTATCCCTGCCCAACTGGTACTTTTCTGTTCCTTATTTTATAATACCTGTGAAATACTTTTGTAAAATTATTGAAAATAAAATTTAAAAGAAAGAAGGAAGGAAGGAAAAGGGGCAGGGAGAAAAGGAAACAGAAAAGAAAAGGATGAAAGCAGGGAGAGAAGAAGGAAGCGAAAAAGGAAAGTAGGCATGGAATTTGCTATTCAGGAAGATTAGCCTCAACATAATCGAACGTGTGAGATGATGCCCCAGGGTCTGAAGTCAGGGCAGCAAATTCCGGGGTGTTTCCTTCCTCTGAGAAAAAAAACCGATTCTAGAAACAGAGCTGACCTAGCCTCAGAAAACTCTGCCTTAAGCCTTTAAACATGGTTCCTTTGCCCTCTCTCCCTCCCTCCCAGTACTATAAATTGAACCCAGTGTTTACTTGCACTAAGGTACATTCCCCAAGTCCCCCCCTTTTTAAAACTATTTTTTGGAGGCAAAATCTCAAAGTTCTCCAGTTCCCTGGGCTGACATAAACTTGTGATCCTCTTGCCTCAGCCTTCTGGGTCACTAGGACTACAAGCCTGTCCGACATACCTGCACTTTTTTATGGTCTTCTTCTGTTTGGCCATCATTGTGATGAGTGTGGTACCTACCGCAAGGATTACAGTTTCATTATCTGCTCATAATCAAACACAAAACCATATGAATATTGTATATTCGCCAGTTAAGTTTGAGGACACCAAAGAATGCTGACATCCCTTATAAAATCATATTTATTTTACAAGTATATTAGTCACAAGCAGAATAATAGCTGTAGTGCCTACGGAATTAAGAGTGGACAGCAGTGGTGCATTGGAGGCCTCTGCTGCAATGCTAAGATCTCTGCAGTGAAGGTAATAGGGGAGTCCCAAAGGGCTGTAGCAAATGGATAGGGTAGAGATTGTACTTACAGCAGAAGAGATGGCCAGAACGGCCCACACAGAATGCAGGTAGGAAACAGCCAGGGCTGGAGAGCCATGGAAAATACGAGGGGATGAGGTGCAGCCTAAGTCAACAGCGTGCAAGGGACGCTGACGCTGTCTTGATTTTAAGCTATGGCGATGTAATAACTAGAATGCAGGAGGCAAGAGTTTATTCTGTGATGGTCATAGAATTGGGACATAGGCACAGAGGCAAACTGGAACCCATTCATAAAAGAGCAAATCAGTACGTTAAAGGTTCTCTTTAGTGTGGAGACTGGCTGAAGAAACAAGAAATAGGTGGTTGAAAGAGTAAGCCTTGAGCATTATGGTCATGGTAGGGATGTTTTCTGTTGTAAATAAAAGAAAAATCAGCTCAAAATGGCTTCAATACCAAAAGTAACTTATGGACAGTTGGGTTTTCTGTGAAGCTGGATCCAATGTCCTGATTAATCTTCCTCTCTACTTTCCATTCTAAGGTTGCCACATCTTGCGGCCCGCCCCCGTCCTGTGAAACAAGGTATCTGCTGGCCTGGTCGCAATAACCAAGGCCGTTTTCTTTCATGGCAGAGATGGTCAAAGAAACTTCTTAGCCCCCATAGCTCAGTGGAAGAGAGAGGGCTCTTCTGTCCCCAGATCCCTGAGAAATACCTTTTGCCCCTCATTGGCCAGGCCTGTGACACATGCCAACCTCTGAACACATTAGAGCTAGCACAGGAATGCTGTGTGCAGAGTATCTTAGCTCATCAGAAGTCTACCTCGAGCTGGGATTCTCAGCATTCCCCAGAAGCAGAATGGCAGGGCACAGATACACAGATGAGTGTGTGTACTATATAGGTGTGCTGGAGAATAAATGTGTATGTAGTACATATGCTGTGTATCTGTATTTTAACTTGTTCCTTTCTTTTAGTTTTGGTACTAGGGATCGAACTCAGGACCCTGCGCTTGCCAGGCAGGCGCTGTGTCACTGAGCTACATCCCTGGCCCTTTAAAATATTTTTTGGGGGGGCAGGTACTGGGGATTGAAACTGTGGCCTCCCATGTGCTGGACAAGTGCGACCCCTGAGCTACACCACTTACACGACTATGCTGTCTCCCCAGCCCCATGTTCTGACTTGTAAAGAAATTTGTCCCTAGAGACTTCCTGACGTGACCACGGTGGGCCTGTGTGAAAGCTGCAGGGCTGGAACTCCTGGTAGAGGCTGATGCTAAGTCTTGAGGCAGATTTCTTCTTCCCCTGGCAAAATTCAGTTTTTGCTCTTTCGCCCTCTCAACTGATGGGGTAGCTGCGTTCTTGACGGTACTGTCCTTTACCTAAAGCCCGCTAATGGCAGCTGTCAGCCACAGTTACAGCCTGCCTTCACAGGGGAATCAGTGCTGGATTCGAGGACCGGATACTGTAGTCTGGCCAACCTGACAGGTAACCTGTCACGATAAGATCGGTCCCTTCCACAGTGTGTGGCGGAAACCTCGAGTTCCCCTGGAAGAGAGAGATTGGAGGCACAGAGGAAACCAGTCAGTCCCCTTAGGGGAGCTCAAGGCTGCCTTGGTGATGGCTTTCCACCCGTCTTACAGGGAGTAGTACTGGGGACACACGTTGCGTGAGACTCGCCCACCAACTAAAGAACTGTCCAGCAAGACAGTCGCCTTTCTTCTTTGTTTTCGGCTCTGATTTGATTTGGTTTTATGTAGTTCCAGGATTGACTTCACATCAAGAGCGCTCGCCGCCGTTGGCACTCCCCAGGAGTGTTCAAGCGCATGCTGGGTGACTGAGATGCGTGGCCTCAGGTTAAGGCCGAGTAGCATTTGTTTCTCGGCCGCGTTCAGGGGACCACAGATGTGATTCCACTTCACTCCTACACTGAACAGTTCTGAGATACGTCACAGCATCCCCCGGAAGACCAGAACAGTGCACAAGGCAGTTCTTTCCCCTCTCCCCACGGTGTTCATGCAGCCAAACACCTTCCCTCTCCAAGGACCATGTGCTCTTTCTGTTCATCATGGATGAGTGGTTTCAGTTGCCGGCCGCCCCTCGGCATTGCGCCTCGAGCTGACCACATCCTCCTGTGAATCCCCGAAGGCTCTCACTGGTTTGATGCTGCTAGAGAACCCACTGCCACTGTCCGAGTACACACTGTGTCCTCTCCCCTGGAGGCGAGGACAGGTGGTTAACAGACTCCGGAGCAGTCCCTCCTGTCCAGTGTTGGCTGTTGTGGTCTCCGCCATCCCTGTAGCTTGAGGATGGGAACCCTGCCAACCCAAAGAGGTGAAAAGGAGGTGATTCCACAGTGTTTCCCTCCAGCCCCACGCGTAGCAGTCATGTTGGATTGGAAAAAGATTCAAATATCAGTTGAGTTACAGTAAGCGATTTCTTCATTGCCTTCCAAACCCAAGATTTTACTATTTTATTATTTCTAGGTTCCCCATGCTAGTATTAGTGTTCATATGTTTCAGAAACAAACAGGGCAAATTGTTCACTTCTCTGTCATTCTACCTCCCACCAGGCTGTTTCCGCAGTATGTATTTGTGTGTGTGTTTCTTCTTAGCTCGAGCTCAGAAAGCCATGCTTTATTAATCTTCCTGTACCTTCAGGATCCTCCAGGGAGCACAGCTCCGACTCAGCCTATATTCAGTAAGGATTTGGTGAATGAATCTGAAAATCACTTTCTCCATCAGAATTTGAGAAAAAATTTACCTGTGAGCTGCAAGTTCCCCTTACACAGCCTAACATAAGTAATTGCCCTGAAAATGAATCCCCCGCCACGGTCGAAATCCAAGCCCACCCACCTTCAGAGCGAGGAATGAGATCAGGAGAGTGTTGCCCGATTTTCTTTCTTCATTTCCCTTCCAAAGTGAATGCCAGCTGCCCTAAGGCTTCTGAAGAACCCCAAAGGTGGCTGCTCACTTTGTATGGAAAGGGGAATTAGTACTGTTATGAGGTGATCCTCCAGTCTGCCTTTATGAGGATGCTGAATGCTCCCTTCACTTCGCAGCTCCTGCTGAGAGCTGAACATCGCTTGTTCGAGAGCTGCTTCAGTCCAAGTTTCCTCCTTCAATGCACAGCTGCACAGCATCCCTGTCCTAGGTCACAGGAAACACGCAGGATGCTAAAATGCTTGCGTTGGATGTATTTAACATGTTGTTTTTCTATGATCTCTGTTTTCTAATTAAATTTATTTAACTGGTACATAACAACAAAAGACTTATACGTGTTAATGGGATAATATGTTTCAATACCCGTATACACTGCACAATATGTAAATCAGGCCAAATGTCTGTGACCTCACACATGTATCATTTGTTTATGGTGAAAACTTTCAAATTCCTTTCTTCTGGCTTTTTGAGGTGCACAGTGCATTGTTATTATCTCTTGTCATTTACTGTGTATGCCAGCACTTCCTGCTCCAAGCTAACTAATCCAGTGCTCCATCATCAGCCTTCCCAAGCTGCAGCTCCTGCAGAACTGGCCACTGCCATCTGCTCTCAGCTTCTCCAACCAAGATGGACTTCTTCAGATCTCACGTGAGAGTGAGGTTGTGTAGGACGGGATTCCTGCACCTGGCTCCCTTCCCTAACATAAAGATTCCCAGTTCCATCCATGTTGTCTCCAATGACAGGTGTTCATTCATTTTATGGCTGAATAGTATTCCAGGGTGTATATGTACCACGTTTTCTTGATAGGATTTCTGTTTTATTACTTACTATATTTAATTTGACCTGCTCATTAAAGTAATTCTTTTAACAGAATGGCATTATAGATTTAAGAATTTTGTAAAGAAAAGTTGGAAAACCTGGTGCAACAAAGGAATTTCTCTGATTTAGAAATGTGTCATACACCTTCCCAGTGTTATTCCGTGTATTATGTTTTGCAGCCGGAATATAGTGGGGTTGCATCCACCATGGTGTCTGCTTCCATTGTGCACAGAGCTCCGTGTGTGGTCATTGTCCAGGCAGTGTGCATCAGTAACAGGATGCGCTCTCCCACAGCTAGAGACTCCGAGAAAGACTCTAGTGTAATAGCAGTGTTTTCCCATCTCCTCCTCGATTTGTCCCCAGGAAACAGATCCGAGCTCTGCTAGGCCCGTTCAGCCAGGCCGAAGCCGTACTCCTGGAGGCTGGGGTGCAGCCGGGGACTTTGGATGGGGCTCTGTTGGATCTCGGGTGCTCCTCCATGCAACTTGACACTCCTGAAAGAGGTTTTTCCCTTCGGAAGGACGGTCCCTTGGACATGAGGATGGATGGTGGCAGGTGAGTATTGACAAAGCATTTCTCCTCACAAAAATCAATTTCTCCGAAATGCTCTGAATTTAATTTCCTCTTAAGACAGCAGAATTCCCATCACACACCCACAGCTAACACTCCCCATATGCAATAAATCAGTTTTGTTTGTACCCATATAGACTTTAGTATTTCTCTGGCTTTGGAATGTGAAAGAAAAATGGCTACTGTCTTTACACAGAACAATGCAAAGGATGCTGACCCACTTCATTTGTGCAAGGTAGGCCTTGAGAGTACTGCTGTATGGACAAACGCCACGACACTGAGGCACTGATTTCATTTTTGTGCGAGCCTGACTCACCTCTTAGGAGGGGCAAAAGGACATACATTTACTGCATAGTCTTTTACAATACTGCACAGACGGCAGGGTGCTGGAGGCCAGCAGTTGTGTGTTTTCTTCTGTACCTTGTAGTCAGTTTGCTTGAGCCTTCTGAAGAGAAACTACAATTTCTGGTACTACATCAAACATAGTACCACACACCTTAGGACACTGATGGCAAACCTTTTAGAGGTTTCTGTGACACAGACAGCTCGCTGCAGCATGCGTCCGTAGGTTCACCGCACCGGTACAGGGCATCTTCTGTACCTTCTCCTCGTCCCTCCCCCGAGGGAAAGGCTGGCGTTTGTTCGCCATCATTCAAAGACCTACATGTTACATCCTAAAGAAGATCGCCGTAGGGGTGGTTAGGCATCATTCCTTTTTATCTGAATGAATTTTAAGAGGTAAGCGGCTTAGTATCTATATCTGGGCCCAACACTGGCCCTGGGCGTGGGCCACCTGTGTCCACGCAGTGTAACCCTGCTCTTCTCCCTCCTCCTGCACTCCCACACGTGGCGCATCCCGTGCAACCACTCACACAGCCTCTCCCTCATGGCGGGAGGATGTGTGAGCTGGGTGTGGCCTGTGCTGTTAGATCCCTGCTGTCCGAGTCTTCTCCCTTCTTCTGCACACACTGTTGGCCTTCATAGAATGAAGGATGTCATCATGAAAGAAAACAATGTAAACCCTTTAAAACCCAGTGACTAATAGTAAAGGTCAAAAACAGCCTCATGCTTCGAGATTGAGGCGGTTTACAGAAATAAAGAAATGTCAGGGAAACTTCTGCTGCTCTGTCTTGCTAAGGAGGCTGTCTGCTGAAGCTGGAGCCCCGTGGGCAATTGCTTCTAGTTAATCGAGGTAAACGCCTGTGCTGTTACTGTGGACTTCTCAGCAGATCACAGCCTGTGAGTCAACCCTGCAGTTCCCCTCCATGAACCTGAACATAAGATCGCCCTGAGGATTCACCTCCCCGTGGCTCAGTCAGTACCTAGTGGATGAGATTACAGTTCAGCCCATTGGTTTTAGCAGGACGAATGGCTTCCAGGAGGACAGCCTGGAGTGCAGCCTAAATAGAGATGTTAACAGAGCTGAAGGAAGCCTGTGGCATTCAGAAAGAAGAGTTGACTCACTTGAATTCGTAGAAAGGGAAAGTCAGAAGTGTAAATATGCGCAATTCTAAGCCAGTGTCAGCAAAGAGCGTCCTGGCAAGAATATGGTCTGTCAGTTCCTGGGGGGAACAGATGCCTGGATGCAGATGGACGCCAGGGCTTTCCTAGCCCTCTGCCCTTGAACACTGACATCTTCAAGAAATTTATTCCACGCTGATCTCAATTTCAGCAACAATTTCAGGTTGTAGTAAGGCTTCTCAAGCAGAAAGGGACTCACGGCTCCAAGGACTTGACAGTGTGCTCCTGTTGAAGGTCCACTCTTCCCTAGAGCCTGGGGGCTGGGGCTTTGTCAGTGTGTACTTTCCCTGGGGAGTGTAGTTGCTATAAGCAGTGGAACCTGGCTCACAGCTTGGCCTCCTAACTGCGGGGCGGGGCGGGGCAGGGCTGCACATCGGGATCTCAACTCCTTCCACTGTGAAGCCTGTTCCGAAGCGGCCTAGCCACGGCCACCCATCCACACTGATGTCCTTTTTGCCCTGTAGCACTGTGAAGACTTCTATGCTACTCTTCAGTAATAATAATATTACCAGCATCAATAGTAATATGAGAGTACAATACGATTACGCCTGCTTTCCACTTGATCAAAATGTTGTTTGAATTTTCTTGTTAAGATGAGAAAGTTATAATGAAAAACCACTGAGTACATCCACAGTATCTTACGATTTGCTGCTTTGGCAGTGCTGGGGTCTACATTTGTCCTCATTAACAAGGCTCATTCCGTGCTCGGTGATTTGGACAGCCTAGTTCACAGATGGGTGAGGTCTACCAGAGGTTTTGTCATTGAAGCCGAGAGTGATCAGTGGGAAATGTATGAGGGGACTGGAATTTATTGGACATCTTGTATGTGTCAGGCACCACACTGTCTGTGTTTACAGTGACATCCCCTGCTTCTTCTCCCAACAGTTCCATGGGGTAAACATTGCTGTTTTCAGTAGTTTAAAAAAATCAAGGGTCCAATGGCTTAAAAGCTTCCCCAGTGTTAGCAAGGCTGGCTTCCTAACCTAGGTCAGTGGACTCTAAATAACAGACCCTCATCTTGAAAGCTGAAGAAGCAAAGCACACTTAGATGGAAATCAGGATTACTTTACAGAGACATTCACTGGTGATCTCAGAAGTAAGATTTTGCAGAGAGAGAGGGAGGGAGGGAGAGAAAGAGAAAGAGAATTCACTGAAAGTGCTAGCATGTTAACAAAGTTCAGTTTCCTGTTTTCAAGAAGTGTTTGCGTTGTCTTGGGCAGCCCCACTCTGGTTTGATCCTCAGGCCTTAAAGTTGCCACATTTTTGTTGCTTACAGGTCATCGCACTGATTGGTACCAATAACCAACCCAGTGTATCGGTGTAGATGTAGCAGTTGTATTGCAAGCAAGACTGTCCAAGGAGCGGGCTCATGGCTAGCTCACCAGTTAGAATTCCTGGGTCCGTTGCTCTGAAGTATACTGAAATGCTGTGATAGTGAATGCTCCTCTCTGCTACTGTGATTCGTTCTACAAGGCCAGAGTTTGGCAGTTCTTTTCATGCTCTATCTGAGATTTTATTTAGACTTGTTCAATATTGTATGTCTATTTTATGGTGACCTTTGTCATGGGTGACAGAGATAATATTACAAAATTTGACATGATACATTATTGCCATTAAGATTATTCTAGTTTTTTGTGAGTGCAAACTGATCAATATTTTCTCCTATAGACTTTCTGCCTTCAACTATCCCACAAGTAGTTACTTTACTGCCGTAGATTCAGTTAAGTTCCTGGGGCTTAGATTTGTTCAGATATCATTGATTGGCGAGTCTTGTATGTTCCTTACTGCAAAAAAAAAAAAAAAAAAAAAAGTCAAACAGTAATTTAATTTTGAAGAACTTAAATCCAGACAATGTCCATTATTTTAGTTTGAAGGAAATCTACAGAAGTGATAATAACCTCTCTGAATTAAAGGTTAGTAAAACATTTTAACTTCCTGCTGTCTTGACCTTGGTAAAGGTTCCAAACCATTGCTCTTGCCCTAATGCTGAGTATTTGAAGTGGAAAATCTTTTTCATTTGTGTAGGATCTCAGCATCTCACTTGGAAAACCTCAGCCCTCTCCCCGGCTGTTGTGTATGCCTGACTCTGTCAGGACTCTGAAGTCTCACCTCCTGTCAATACAAGCTGATGTCAGGGAGCTAATTGGCTGTCCTTGTGCGTAGGTATCCCGACATGCCCACCGCGGCTGACGTTGTGAACGCCTTAGACCGACAGGCGCTCGCATCCATCCTGAGAAGATACGGGGAAGAGAAACACGCCAGGAAAATCGCGTCAGCAATCGTTCAGGCACGGAGCACATACCCCATCACCAGAACCCAGCAGCTTGCCAGCATTGTAGCAGGTATCCTCATTAATTCTGAAGTGTCTGAAGGGAAGCATATAAATCTATAAACCCAGAAATGTACATATATATATATATATATATATAAATGTATATATATATAAAATCTCCCCCGACTCCCAGAGGGACTCATCTGTACCTGAAAAATCATGCAGGATAGAACCTTGGCCAGGCTCCTCTAATGTCAGATTTCTTCTGGTTTTGTAGGCTTCTCCCCTCCAACACCTCTTTTTCCCACACAGTATTTTAAAAATACGTACGTAGTGTGCGGATTAGTTTAAGAATAGAATTTTCTTACAGGAAGTAATTTGTCTTTGTACTTCCCAAGGTGAAACACAGAATGACAAGAGCAGAGGAAGTCCTTAATCCTTCACCGTGGTAGATAAGCAGCTGTATAAGGTTGGACATCACCTCTCTTAGTTTTCATACTTTCTGCATTTTAATATTTTGGGCAAAGGAGACTGGCGTTGCCCAACTGGTAACATAAAACCCAGCGCCTCATGCGTCTGTTCTAAACAGGCAATTGCAAGGGTACTGATGTATGGCTTATTCTGCCTCGTGAATGCTAACTCCATCAGCCGGAGGGGCTTAGTGGAGCACCTCACATTCTCATGCTCACACCCATACCTTCTGGAACCTCAGCGTAGCACGGAGGGGCGTTAGGATAGCCTTTCTGCTTGAAGCCAGAGTTGTCTCACAGCTGCGTCCCATGCTGAAAGTGTCTAAGGGAAAGGTGTAACTCCTGCAGTTACTTAATACAACTTCAGTGCTAGTGTCCATCTTCTCTGGCCATCTGAAACCCTGTGTCATTTGTAGTAACCACAGAGTGTCCCTAGGTTTCTTGTCAACGTTTCCTATGAAGTTATGTAAATAAAGAAGTAAAAAGGAGGAATATTTGTGTAGCATTTAAAAAAGACCCTGATATTGGTTATCCATAGTTGAAAGGATAAAAATTATAAATATATTTAGATCATTAAAATGTAGCATTCATATAGTAGTTGTTCTTGGTGTAGTGAGATAATGCTGTATTCTTCAGATTATGGGATGCAGAGTTGACTAAGTCTTCCACTTCTTCAGCTGCATCCTCCACAGCTTTTCCGACTTCGTGCTGGTGTTCCTTTAATTCTCATGAATTAGGTGGACATAAAATATTTCTTGGCATTGTTCTGTTTTTTCACAAGTACTAGGTATGTTGTTCTCTGTTTCTCACGTTAGGAAGAAAAGCGGTGAGATGTCACATTTTTTTATTCAGAAAAAGATCCTACTTTTTCTGGTGCTGAACTTGAGGGCGCTGATCCAGCGAGTGGCCGAGAGCCCCTCTCTGACGGCCGAGGGCGGCTGGGTTGAGGCCATCACTTGCTCACTGTCGAAGCCCAATTCGTGACAGAACTGGGACTAATCCAGAACTTGCAACCCCCACCCCCGAATTTGAGGCATATTCGCTTCGCAATGTGCCTTTAAGAAGTTAACTTTTCTGCTTCAGGGTCCTGATCCTTAAATGTGGGGAAATAACACTGGTGCTACATGGGACTTATATGAAATGTGCCATAAGAACGCCTTGACTGTTTTCAGAAACATGATGTGAAAAGCGTGCTAGTGCTATGACAAATGGTACAGTAAACATGAGAATATGCACGTGTGGGTAAATTAAACCTCACTCTAGTAAAAGCCATTACAAATATTGAGTCCTCTACACATCTGTTTTCATGTCTTCAGTATGAACGCATAATAACACAACTTTTTTGAGGATGTGATGTTTTTGAAAAAGGGAAAGCAGAAAATAATGTTTCTTCTTTGTGGTCATTTATGAAAAAAATATTTTGGGAGAGGCTACTGTGTATTAGGCACTAAGCATAAAAGACAAATTGGGAAGCAAATCAGCTACAGCCTCGGTGTTCCCCACTTCCAGAAATATAACAGATTAAGCAGTCTAGTCCCTGAATACAAGCAGTTTACAGAGCTACTTACAGTAAAAGTCTTTTCTTTCCTGTCATCTGGAGTTATGATTCTGAGGATAATGGAAACTGATAGAATCAGAGAACTATGGAACCTATGCAAATGCACATCATCCTGTGTGCTTGGGTCCTACTGGCATTCATGAGCCCTTTCGTGTGTTAGACTATACCTACAACATTGTGCTGAGGTCTCTGCTTACAACTTTAGTAAATGAAGTAAGACTTCAAAGATACTTGCAAAGCAATCAGAATGAGGATTTTTTTTTAAATCTCCATGACTTCTGTTCAAACTTTTGTAACTGCCTCAGCCACACTTAACTTGCATTTATCAATAGTTTCCAAAGTTCCACCTTACTTTTCCTGGGAGCAGCAGCTTTCTTTCCTGCGGTCACATCTCATCAGTTATGTAATACTCAGGTAGATTGCGTCTTGACGTAGGGAGTGCTGCGGTGTGTACACACTCATCAGGTCCACAGGGCAGCACGCGCCCGCTCCTCGGCTCCACCAGCAGGGAAAAGGGCAGACTTGTCAGCTGCGCTAAGTGGAGGTTCCGAGACAGTGACTGGATGGGGGAAAGACAGGGCACAGAGAGATGACCCCTACGTTGCTTTCTGGGGCTGCTATTCGAAGTATCCCCAGCTTGATGGCTTACAGCAGCAGAAATGTATTCTTGCAGCGTCGGGGGCTTGAGGCCTGTGGTCACGATGCCAGCAGGACTAGAGAACCTCGCTAGATGGTCTCAGCTGCTGGTGGTCTGCAGACGTTACTGTCTCTGCCTCCAGGGTCACTCAGTGTTCTCACCTTGCCTCTCGTTGTGTCGTAATTTCCTTCTTCTGACATCACTGCTCATCAGGGATCCACCCGGTGTGCCTGCATCTTAACTTTGTGACATATGCAGACTCCTGTTTGCAAGCAAGGTCACGCTTACAGATGCGAGGTAGGTATGAGTTATCGGGCAGAACCTTCATGGGGTTTGGATTCAGTGATATCCCTACACGATATCTTTATCTGATAGCATGTATTTGAGAAGCTATAATATACAGGGACAGTATTTAAATGCCTTTTCTGGTTCTAATAAATTCATCTTAATGTGTTCAGGACTGTCAAGCATTCTAGCACCGTTCCTGGCATGTATTAAAACTTAGGTAGACAGACAAATACATAGCTCTATCACTTCCCTTACTTCCAAAAGCTGATAATCCAGTTGGACAGGGAACACTAGCCACCCACTTGGAATCAGTAAAACTCTTAATAGACTGCATGATTATGCTGCCCTAGTACCTTTTGCAACTATGAATGATTGCAGTTCTACTGCTATTCCACATCAGAGAATTCCACAAGACAGACCTGAAGCTCTAAATTGGAATACAGCACATGTAATCACTGTGAATCACCTTGTAAATGATCAAAGCAAGTAATTTTGCAGGCAATGTGTAATTCCAAAACAGCCGGTAGAGCTGCACTCTTCATCCTGCCACACACGTTATACATCCAGTACTGGCAAGAAGATGTAGCCACAAGTTTAATATAGACATTTAAGACTTGTATAGTATTATACATGGTGTTCCCGCCAAAAATCATTTATAAGTAACAAATCACATTTCATCAATCATAATTTTTATTCCTCTACTGTTAGAGCTGAAGAGTTAGCATCATGGAATCTGAGTTGGAAATGGCATGAAAGATGCATTTAATTCATCACCGCACCTTCTCCACCTCCAGTACAGCTCATCTGGCTTTAGCCTTTCCACCGTCACACCCCGATGTCTGCCCATAAAGCATCTCTGCCCCAGCCATGCTGAAGATCTTGCAGCCTTTCCAGCAGACCATAGGCACCCACCTGCAGGCCTTGGATGCACTTCTGCCTGGAATATTGACCTTTGTGCTTCTTTCACAGCCCTGGCCCGTTCCCCTACCATTTCTTCTGACTCATTTTGGCTCATCCTTGGGAGCTTAACCAAAGTGTCACTCCCTGCAGCCCCACCTGGGTGGGTAGAGACTCCCGCCCTCCTGCATGCTGCATCATGCCGCCTTCCTGTTGCGGCTCTTAATGTGCAGTGTCTTACTGCTGGCTTCCTCGTTGACTTTTCCCCGTGTCCTCTCTGTGTGGTCCAACCCAGCTGCCAGGCACTACGTGTGCCTACATTTGAAATGTGACTGCTTTAACTCAAGAAGTGTCGTGAAGGTAAAATACACATTTGATTTTAAATACTTAGTTTTTAAAAACTTTTAAATATATCAGTGATTTTTACCTTTGTCATATGTGGAAATGGTAGAGATCTGTCTACTATCTGTCTGTCTGTCTGGCTGTCTATCTCTACCTATACTTATTGCAGTATTAACAATAACTTTACCTGTTTTTAAGGTGTGGCTCTGTAGAAACATTTTAAGCGAGATGTATTGATCATACCGTATTTTCTGGCCAGCAGGCACCAGACTAGAAGCACAGTGAGGGCCCTGCTGGGACTTTGCTTTTTGGGGCACTGCCTCCCAGTGCTTAGTCTGATGTTTAACTCTTGGGAGATGACTTTTTCAATGTGAAGGTATACAGTTAGTGAAGTACACATTAGAACAGGAAGGTGTGCATTCAGAAATATTCAGCATCAATATAATAAAACATTATTTTTAGTCACATAGGTCACAAGAAACAAGTCTTCGTCACACAGATCTGCCTGATGATATCAATGCTAACATAAAAAATAGGAAAAAGCACTTTGTACTTTTTTTTTGGTACTGGGAATCGAACTCAGGACCTTGCGCGTGTGAGGCAGGCACAGTGCCACTGAGCTAAATCCCTGGCGTAGTCTGAACTATTTTTATTTACTCATCTTTAAGTTGCAATGAAATATGTTCCCATCTTATTCATTAGGAATGCCGTGAAGAAAAATAGCGGTCTGATAAAATATTTTTTAATTATAAAAATATTTGATAATGACAAATGATACCTATGGAACCTCTCAAGCTCTTTGGGAGAAAGAAAATTTATACATCTGCTTTAGAAAAAATGTCTACAGAATTGATGTATATTTTATTTGTGTAGTCTTAAAAATGACATAGATCCTAACATTCTTTGAATAAAAAAGTCTGAGTATTTTCCTCAGTTTTGCCATATTCTATGGTACTTTCTATGCTGAGGTTACAGCCAAGAAAATCAATTATTAAATGCTACTGTAGTTTCATGAGAAGATCTTAGTTCAAGTCCTGGTTCTACAACTTGCCTTTTGAACAAACCGGAACAGTTGTAGACCTTATCTTTCTTGTTTTGAAATGGAGGTGAATAATAGTTATAATGATTACTATTATTTTTGTTTAGCAGGCATAGCCAGTCTGATTTTGTTTTGCTTAAGCCAATATTGCAATTTACTTGCAACCTCAGAAGTTATGTGAAAATCAAAGAAGCACACCAATCACTTTTCAGATCAATGAGATTTGTGTTAATTCCACAAATCAGATGATTGATCCATCAACAGTCAAAACTGACAAAAGGCTCGTAATATTATTTGAATGGAAAAAGAAGAGAGAAGCTTGCCTCTCAGATGTTTGTGATTCATGTTGATGAAATGTGCAGACTTTCTCCCTGGCTGAAACTTTTATGTAACCGTTGTTCTGACTCATGAGCTGGGTGCATGGCCAGAGCCTAATGAATGCTTGATGCACAAATAGCTCAATTCAGTGCTGTGTGCATGTCTAGCAAATGTAAGATGGAAGTTCGGGGTAAGAAAGAATGAAATGGCCAGGTGTTCCTGGGGACCAAGTGTGCTCTGCCCTTCACACCAAAGGAAGAAAGAGAGCTGGATGTCAGAAGTCCTTAGGATAAACTGAAGCAGCTGAGGAAGACGTGAGACTCCTCAGGCCATGGAATGAAAGCATTCTCAAGTCCTGTTTGGGGTCTGCTACTCATTTGCTCTGTGAACTTGAGGGAATCGCTCCTCTCTTTTGGTCTTCATTTCCTAATCTGCAGGATGGAAGTAGCAAATTCTGGCTGTGAGCAGTAGTGAGATGGGATATAGTGGTGCTCTCTGCGAAGCGTAAAGTGCAAGTGCACTGCACAACTATTTCTCACCTTCCTACCCAGAACCGGCATCATCAGAGAGCAAACCAGTGCACCTCTGGGAACTCTTGGGTGTGTCTTCCACACCTTGTGATCCATGAGAAGTTTACTACCTCAGTCCAAAGTGTTCTTCCCTTCGAGATGACGTGACTTTCTTTTAGTGGTGGGTAATTATCTTTTTCTGTACTGGGACACATAAGGTAGATCTTTACATAGAAATAAATTTACTTATGAAATATCATTTGATTATTTAAGCAGCCTGAAGTTCCTGTATTAATGTCCTATACAATAGATAGAACTAAAAAAAATTAAAGTGATGATTTAAATTGATGGCTCCAGCCTCTACTTGTATGTGAAATCATGATCTTTTTCTAGAAAAGTTTTGTTAATGCAGTGAAAGAACTTTAAAATAAGAAAATAAATAAACTAAACATTTATTAAGAAGTAGTCATTCCTACTAGTTTTAGTAGGAACATAAACTTTTTCCTAAAGCTAATCAAGCTACTTTGCTATGACTTTATTGTTTAATAACCTCATGTTGTTCCCGCATCCCTCCCCCAAAATACTCTTTATATGTACTAATATTGCCACAATTCAGAAATAAAAGCAAAGATGTCACTGTGTTCAGTTAGGATTCTGGTGGAGAATTGGGTGGCCCCACCTACAGCTGAGGTGGGATGGCATAGCAGGGAGTTGTACCTGTTGTTGCTGCTGCCTGTGATATTACACTTCTGTCACTGTCAATTTCTTGACTTTAAACTGTTATATTCTGTGTGTATCGGTATGGTATTCCTTCCAACAAAATTACCAAATGACATTTCCTGAATAAACTTAAGAAAAAATGGTCTACACAAGAAATCCAGCTCAGAAGAAAATGAAATGGGGTTGGGGGAGAGACTTGAAAATGTCTTTTTCTCTTAAAAAATCTAGCTAATCTCAGTCTGTAGTACCAGGTGAGGAGCAGAGAATGTTCCAGTACCAACTGACCAACTCCCAATCCTAGTTTATTGATGATGATGATGATGATAAGTAATGCTGACACTTACTAACAAAGTAGAAGGTATTATCCAAAATTATTTTCATAAATTAACTCACTTAATCCTCACAACTGGCCATGAAGCAGGTGCTATTTTTATCTCCAATTTCAGGTGAGGAAACTGAAGTGTATGGAAGTTAGGAACTTTGCCTTTTGTAGTGTAAAGGAACCCTGAACTGTGCATTCTTCATTGTGATACTGCTCCCGGTCCCGTGTGGTTGAAGGACAACATGCACTCTTGTGGGAGAACGCAGGCA